TTGATAGGTGCATAAGGATAAAGGGACTCAGTTCTAGAGCTGAGGTCTCTAATTCTCTGGTCAATGGTGTGGTTAGTCCCAGGACACTACCACACTTGGGCTATTCTCTGTATAAGGGTTGCCTTTTTTTTATATATTAGCAAATGTCTCCAAAGCATAGACATGTATATTAATCAAGAAGGGTTGGGAGGCAATTAAGATTGAAACCCCCTAGTCCCAGGACATGTGTATTTGTGTCCCATTTAATCTCCCCACAAGTCTGCAGAGAAGATATTACTGTTCTAACTTTACATCTGAGGAAAAGGTTCAGAGAAATTAGGTACCACACCCAGGGGCCACAGCTAGTAAGTAACAGAAGAAGAACATCATTTAGATTTACTTGGTACTTACTCCGTGGCGGACTTGTGGCTAATTGCTTTTACATGCATTGCCTTATTTAATCCTCAAGACAAAACTATAAAGTAAATTATGTTATGTACCCATTTTATAGATGACAGAATTGTGACTTAGAGAGTAAAGAGCTGAGACTTTCCAAAGTCAAAGGCAGGCACCCTTTCCATTGTTGGACATGATTTTCCTTGCACAGCAGCCCGCCCACAGAAGTGCTCCAAGCTCTGTCAGGCAGCTGCCCCATCAAGAGACAGATTTAGATACAGAGCAGTTGCCCCTGCCACAGAGATGGATACCACATTTTTTAAGTTCATTGGACTGTGGCCCTGCTGAGCCATCCTCCATGGTGAACCAGCTAATCAGCCATGTCCTGGGCCAGGGGCTGCAAGCTGTTTCAATTTTTCAAACACAACAAATAACAGGAAACAAAAATGAGTAAACCAGGCCCAGAAACGGGCTTGACCCAATGCCCCCAAATAGCTCTTCCAACCAAGAAACAGACCCTCCATCTGGGCTTACAGATCTGTGCAGTGACCCGGAGCCTGGCAGCCTGGCCTGTGGGGCAGCCGTGAGGATTGCAGTGATGGCTTCTGTGAGGGGGCAGAGGTAAGACAGGGTGGTTTCCAGGGGGGAAAGCTGACTCAGGATTGAAGTTGCCTGAAATCCAGCCAATAACTGCATTCTCTGCACCCAACATCCCTGCCCTGGAATCACACCCCTGGAATCAGAGGCCGAGGACCACACAGAACCCCTGCTGCCCTCTTCTATGTAACTATAAAACCAAAGAGATACTGGGGGGCCCTAGGATGGAGAAATAGAGGTCTGTCCTGGCCAGAGCACTAGGCATGCACCTCGTTTATTGGTGAACTGTGGGATGCTCAGCGTACGATTGTGCAATAGAGACAATGGATGGAATGCATGGTTCACCCTGATGGTCACCTGATGGTCTGGGAACCAAGGCTGGAACCTTATCTCCAGCTACCCAGGCAGGATTAGGAGATGTGGCCTGTGATTTTAAAGAGAGAGGCTTCTGTGGACAAGAATCCTCTACTTTTTATTGCAGTTTAAAACTTCTTGGAATAATAAGAAGCACCTAATCTGTGAGATTTATTAAGAAGAGAAAATGGTATCTTCAGGCCCTATGACACTGGGCTTATAGTTTTATACATTTCTGCCCCAGCCCAGACCAGGCTGAAACAGACACAAATGTAAAATTAACCTTCAAAGACCCTGTTTGGTTTCACAAACTTACTAGAAATGTTTTCAAAGGCACATATTTGTGTTTTATATTCTTTTCACTTAGTTTCATGTTAGATTTGAGACTTTCCAAAGTCCAAAGTTAGATTTGCATGTTTTTATCTTATAAACTGATTTTCCAGAAGGAGAATCCTGCACCCATAGAAAATAATGCTGCACCCATAGCAAACTGAAGCTTCACATGTAACAACTCAATGCAGAGGCATCATCCGGGAACAAAGTGGTTCTCAATATGGTATCACAAGCCAATTCTTTGATTTGCCATCTATCAGCTATCCCATATTTGGTTTCTGGGTAGACCAAGTACCCTAAGAGCATGCGGCTAGCAGAGCAGTCCCCAACTAATGAGCAGCTGGATCCTCAGCACCCCATCTGTTGGCTCTGTCTCAGTTTCCAGGGACCTCCCCACCATGGCTACACTGTTCGAGGGTCTCCAGCCTTAGGGGCAAGGAAAGGTTGTGAACCCCACTTAGAGGGCTCCATAAAAACTACACAAGGGAAAAAAACATTCCACAGCTGATTTAGAAGTGCACATCTGGTGAAGAAGCACTGATAGGACATGACGGAGTATTCACATCCCCCCATGTTTCTCCCCATGAATGTGGCCATAAAACCCAGACTGAATGCACGGGGCAGCTATTGGAGGAATCTGAGGAGTATACAGTATATAGCAGCAGGAAGATAAGAGGAGAGGACAACAATTTGAAGTACCACCAAACTAGCTTTAAGTTTACCAAGTTTTTATCCTCTGTTCCTCTCGCCACTTGGCCCTGGACAGGTACAGCGACAAAAGTGCACAGCAGGTCTAGATCACAAAAGCCACAGCTATCTGGCTGAGGGACCATCAAAGGGGAGCCCCCAGGAACAGGAAAGTACTGGGGATATCACAGAGAGGGAGAAGCTAGGGAAAGTAGCCCCAACAAGTTATTTATTAACTCCTGGGCTCACTTCTGAACTGCTCATGCCTGGACAGGATCCTAATCAGGATATAAAAAACTGAGAACAGTATTTAAAGACAAATTACCATCCTGGTTCCAGACTAGCCACTGGGTGGCACACACACAGGACAGATCAGAAGAGCACTGCACATGCTTTGAAAACTGGACTGACATCAGAAACGGCCCACTGGCAACATGCTAGAGCTTGTGGCCTTAACCTAACTTGCTAAAACAAAAATATCAACGTACATCCTCTACAGGATGTAAATGAGACCAAGAGTCTCATAACATAACATCCAAAATGTCCAAGATAAAATTCAAACATGCTCAGAATAAAAAGAACCAGCAAAATCTCAACTCGCATGGGAAAAGGTAATCAACAGACATCAACTCCAAGATAACAGATGTTGTAATTTTCTAGCAAAGGCTTTAAAACAACTATTATAATAATGTTCCAACAAGCAATTGTGAATACTCTTAAAACAAATGAGAAAATAAAAAGTCTCAACAAAGAAATAGAAGAGCTAAAGAAAAACCAAATAGAAATGTTAAGCTGAAATATACAATAACTTTTTTTAAAAAGTCATTGGATCAGGTCAATAGCAGAATGGAGAAGATAAAGGAGTCAATAAACTTGAAGATACATCAATAGAAATTATCCAATCAGAAACAGAGAAAGAAATAAGATTTTTAAAAAATAAACAGAGCCTCAGAGAGTGGTAGAGCAAAAACAAAAGGTCTAATATTTGTGTTAGCAAAGTCGCAGAGTGAGAGGAGAAGGAAAAAAAATGCTGAAGAAATAACAGCTGTAAACTTCCCAAATTTGGTGGAAGTCAAAAACCTATAGCTCTAAGAAGTTCAGCAAGTCTCAAACAGGATAAACCTAAAGAAATCAATGTATGGACACATCACAGTCAAACTGCTAAAAACTAGGGACAAAGAAAAAAACCTTGAAAGCAATCAAGTTTATAAATAATAGACTATTTTCTTAATTTCTTCTTGATTTCTCTAAAATATGTTTGATGGCTAAAAGAAAAAGAAACATAGCATAGTCTGGTGGGGTTTTTGATGGGTGTACATTTAATATATAAGACAACTATAACATAAATTGGGGGAAAGTAAAGGGAACTAAATGGTAGTAAGATTTATACATTCACTTGAAGCACTAAAATATTGATTCTCAGTACACTGTGAAAAAGATAGTATGTATATTGTTACCTCCAAGGCAACCATTGTAAAAAATAATCAAAGAAATATTGTCAAAATCATATACATAAATCCAAAAGGAATGCTAAAAAATATTCAAATAAGAATATTTTCCTGCCACAAGAAGGCAGCAAAGAGGAAAGAAACAAAAAACAAATAAGAAAATGGAAGACCTAAATCTAAACATATCAACAAATGCGTTAAATATAAATACCCTGAACATACCAATCAAAGGACAGATGGTCAGAACAAGTTTTTTAAAAAACACATAAAGCAATAATACCCTGCCTACAAAAACTCACTTCAAATGTAATGATATAAGCAGATTAAAGATAAAAGGATGGAAAAATATATCATGCAAACACATAATCAAATGAAAGTGGCAGCAGCCATATTAATATCAGACAAAGGAGACATCAGAGCAAAGAAAATAACCACGGATAAAGACGGACATTACATAATAATAAAAGGTGCAATTTCCCAAGAAAATATAACAATCTTAAATGTGTATACATCTAAAAACAGAAATTCAAAGATACAAAACAAAACCTTGAGGAACTGAAATGAGAAAGAAACAAATTCATAATTATAGAGACTCCAACACAACTTTCTCAGTAATAGACTGAATTAGTAGATGGAAAATAGTAGACAGAAAACCAGCAAGGATATAGAAGAACTAGACAACCCCCTCAATCTACTAGATCTTATTGACCTTTATAGAACACTTCACACAACGACAGCAGAATACACTTTATTATCAAGTGCACATGGAACATGCCCTAAGAAAGACCACATCTTGATCATAAAACAAATCTTAAAAGATTTTAAATTATTGAATCATAAAAAGTAGATGTTCTGACCATAATGGAATTAAACTAGAAATCAGAGAAAAATAACAAGAAAAGCTTCAAACACTTGAAAACACAGTCATAAATAATCCCTGGGTCAAAGACAGTCTAAATGAAAATCAGGAAAATATTTGCACTAAACAAAAATGAAAATATAGCATTTTACAATTTATGAGATGCAGATAAAGCAGGGATTAGAGGAAAACTGTAGCATCGCAATACTTATACAGGCATACCTTGTTTTATTGCACTTTGCTTTATTGTGCTTTGCAGATATCGCATTTTTTACAAATTGAAGTGTTGTGGCAACCCTTCATTAAGCAAGTCTTTTGGCGTCATTTTTCCAACAGCATTTGCTCACTTCGTGTCTCTGTGCCATATTTTGGTAATTCTTGCAACATTTCAAACTTGTTCATTATTATTATATTTGTTATGGTGATCTGTGATTAGTGATCTTTGATGTTACTATTGTTACTGTGTTGATGTCACGATGAGCAAAGAAAGTGGTTTCTTGAGAAGGAAGCTACTCCTGGTAAAGATGCTGTGAAGACTGTTGAAATAACAACAGAGGATTTAGAATATGACATGAGCTTAGTTGATAAGGCAGTGGCAGGGTTTGAGAGGATTGATTCTAATTTTGAAAGAAGTTATACAGTGGGTAAAATGCTATCAAACAGCATTGCATGCTACGGAGAAATCGATTTGTTCATGAAAGGAAGAGTCAATCGATGTGGCAAACTTCGTCGTCATTTTATTTTAAGAAATTGCTACAGCCATCACAAACTTTAGCAACTACCACCCTGATCAGCCATCAGCATTGAGGCAAAACTCTCCACTAGCAAAAAGATTATGACTCACCAAAGAATCAGATGATGGTTAGCATTTTTTAGCAATAAAGGATTTTTTAATTAAGGTATGTACATTTTTTTAGACATAATGCTATTGCACACTTAATAGACAACAGTATAACATAAATATAAGTTTTATATGCCCTGGAAAACCAAAAAATGTGTGTGACTCACTTTATTACAATATTTGCTTTATTGTGGGGGTCTGGAACTGAACCCACAATATCTCTGAGGTATGCCCATATTAGAAAAGAAGAATTCAAAGCAATAATCTAAGCTTCCATTTTAAGAGACTACAAAAAGAAGAGCATATGAAACCCAAAGCAAGCAGAAGGCAGGAAATAATAAAGACATGGTCAGAAATCAAAGAGACTGAAAACATAATATATCAGATAAAATAGATGGAACAAAAATAGGTTCTTTGAAAAGATCAACAAAATTAATAAACCTCTTCAAAGAATAACAAAGAAAAAAGAGAGAGAAGACACAAGTTACCAATGTCAGGAATGTAAGAGGAGACATCACTACAGAGTCCACAGGTATTAAAAGGAAAGTAAAGGAATACAATGAACAACTCTACACACATAAATCCAGCAGCTTAGATGACACGGACTAATTCACTGAAAAATGCAAATACCAAAATTCACACAAGATGAAATCAATAACCTGAATAGTACTATAAGTACTAAATAAAACTAATGCACAGTTAAAAGCTTTCCCAAAAAAACTTCAGTACTAGATCATCTTACTGGAAAAATCTACCAAACATTTAAAGAAGAAATAAAACCAATTCTATACAACCTCTTTCAGAAAATAGAAAAGAAAGGTACCCTCCCTCCTCATTTTATGAGGCCAGTATTACTCTACTACCAAAACCAAAGAGAGTACAAAAACAGAAAACTGCAGATCAATATTCCTCATGAGCATAGACAAAAACCTTTAAGAAAGTATTAAATATTAGCAAATTGAATCTAGAAATACATAAAAGAATAAACCATGACCATGTGAGAGCTATCTCAGAGATGCAAGACTAATCCAATATTTAAAAATGAAGCAATGTAATACACTATATTAACAGTCTAAAGAAGAAAATCTACATCAATAGATGAAGAAAACTTATTTGACAAAATTCTGCATGCATTCATGATAAAAACTTTCAGCAAACTAAGAATAACAAAGGACTTCCTCAACTTGATAAAAGGTATCCACAAAAAAAACACTATGTCTAATATTATACTTAATATTGAAAGACTGAAAGCTTTCCCCCTAAGATCAGGAAAAGGCAAAGATATCCACTCTTACTGTTCTTATTCCTCATTTTTTTTTTTTGTGAGGAAGATCAGCCCTGAGCTAACATCTGATGCCAATCCTCCTCTCCTTTCTGAGGAAGACTGGCCCTGAGCCAACCTCCATGCCCATCTTCCTCCACTCCACATGGGATGCCACCACAGCGTGGCTCAACAAGCAGTGTGTTGGTGCGCACCCAGAATCCGAACCAGTGTACGCCGGGCCGCCACAGCAGAGCACGTGCACCCAACCACTTGCGCCACCAGGCCAGCCCCTTATTCCACATCCTATTAGAAGTCATAGTCAGTGCAATAAGACAAGAAAAAGAAATTAAAGCACATGGATTGGAAAGAAAGAAATAAAACTGACCTATTCACAGTCAACAAGATTGCCTCATTAGAAAGCCCCAATTAATATACAAGACAATTTCAGAACCAAAAATTGAGTTTATCAAGGTAGCAGAATACAAGGTCAACACACATAAATCAATTGTATTTCTCTATATTAACAATATAGAGTTGGAAAACAAAATTTAAAAACAATGCTATTTAGAATAGCTCCAAAAAGAGAAATAATTTATAAAGCTAACGTAACTTTTGAAGAATCTTTCCAAAATATTGATGCAGGAAATCAAAGACCTGAATACATGGAAGGAAAAACAGTGTTCACAGATTAGAAAACTCAACATAGTAATGATGTCAATTCTCCCCAAATTGATCTACAGATTTAAGGCAAATATGATCAAAATCCCAGGAGGATTTTTTTAAATACAGACAAGTTGTTTCTAAAATGTATTTGGAAAGGCAAAGGATAGAATAGCTAAAGCAATTTTGCAAAAATTGAAAGAATCACTTTATCCAATTTTAAGACTTACTATAAAGCTATAGTAATCAAGATAACATGATACTGGTGAAGGGACAGACAAATATATCAGTGGAACAGTGTAGAGTCCAGAAATAGACCCACACAAATATGATCAATTGATTTTAATGGCGCAAAAGCAATTCAATGGAGAAAATCAAAAAAAAAGATCTTGAACTAAGCCTCACAACTTACACAAAAGTTAACTCAAAATAAATCAGCCATTCTGGAAAATAAATCAGCCATTCTGGAAAAGTTTGGCAGTTTTAATTTAAGTTAAACACACACTACCATATGATCCAGCAAACCACTCCTGGGTGCTTATCCAAGAAGCATGAAATCTTCACACAAAAGCGTGTATACAAATGATTTCAGTAGCCCTATTCATAATCACCAAAGAGGATAAACAACCCAGACATCCTTCAGCAGGTGAATGGATAAACACACTATTGTATAACCAATAAAAATACTACTCTGCAATAAAATGAGTGAGCTAGTGACACACACAGATGAATCTCAGAGGCATTATTCTCAAAAGGCTACTTATTGTCTGATTTCATTTATATGACAGTCTTCATATTATAAAACTATCATGATGGAGAAGAGATCAGGGCTAGGGGTGAGGAAATGGTGGGACTATAAAAGAAGAGCATGAGGGAGTTTTTGATGGAATTGTTGTGTATTCTGATTGGAGCAGTGACCCAGTGAATCTCTGTATGTATTAAGATTCAGAGAACTGTAAGCAAAAACAAAACAACAACAAAATGACACAAACCAGATGGGACACTATGGCAGCCCTCAATTAGTCTCCAAGGTCTTGCATGAGTGCTTCTTAGGCTAAAAACTTACAAATGAAACAAAAAACGTGTTGAAAACCAGAAGACACAGGAAAATGATAAGGCATTGCAGAGGCAGATGTGGGCCCCCTCCTTAGCCTGGAGCACTGTTCAGTCACTCTTCCCTGAACCTAGCAAGTACTTACAATGCTGGTCCTCAAACTTGCTTGTACACAGAGTCTAAAAAGGTTTTCTAAAGGACTGTGGCCTTGCAAAGGAAGGGCATCTGTTGTGAATGCACATATTCAACTTCACTGGAGTCTGTGACTCTACCACACAGCTTAGCATCTAATGATCCAGAAAGGTCCCTTATCATCTGTGGATATATGTCTGACAATTAGCTTGATTGTTGCAACTACAGCTACATGAAATGTAGTAGTTTGCTAGGGCTGCTGTAATAAAGTAAGCACAAACTGGATGGTTTAAAAGAAAGAAATGTATTTTCTCACAGTTCTGGAGGCTAGAAGTCTAACCAAAATCAAGGTGTTGGCAGGGCCATTCTCTCTCCAAAGCCTCTACGGAAGGATCCTGCCTTGCCTCTTCCAGTTGGTGGTAGCCCCACGCATTCCTTGGCTTGTGGCCACATCATTCCAGTCTCTGCCTCTATCTTCACACGGTCATCTTCTCTCTGTGTCTGGGTCATCATATGACGTTCTCCTCTGTGTGTGTGTCTGTGTTCGAATTTCTCTCTTCTGATAAGGACACCAATCATATTGGATTAGGGTCCACCCTAATTAGACCTCATTTTCATTTGGTCACATCTGCAAAGACTTTATTTCCAAATAAGGTCACATTGACAGGTATGGGGACTTCGGACTTCAACATACCTTTTGGGGGGATACAATTCAACCTACATCATCAAGATTTCATAGAAAATAGGAAAGGAAGGGTAAAATAATAGTACTGGCATTAGTTTGTTTAATGTACTAAAAGCAATTGATTCTAAAGAGGTTCACTGGCATTAAGTCTCTCCTCCCCTTATCCTGAATCACCTTTTTGAATTGCTCAGAAAAACAGAGCATCCTCTGAGTTGTATATTTTAATATAATGCAGGCTGCACCTCTTTTTAAAGTTTTCAAACCAGCCCTCAAAGATGTAAAATTTAATGAGTTTTTGTTTGCACTCTCCTGTGTTTCGATTTCCCAGGTCTCAGCAAAATCCTTGTTTAACCGTCTGGCCTTTTCTCAAAATTATCATGGTAGTTACTGGGCCTGCGAGGGGTATAGACAAACCTCTCTCCCCTTACAGCCCCCTAGATAAGCCCCGTGTTCTAGGAAGAAGGAGCCATATTTACCACTGTGTTCTTTTGTTTAAAGGAACTACACTGAATTATGCATACATTAAAAGATCACAGAATTTAAAAATTTTAGTATACAGAAACAAATGTGACATTTCAAAGCCATGGTTGGTGAGGATCATTGTACCTTCCTCCACTGGTTTATTTATTCACTCGGTAAATAGTCACTGCGCACATGCTGTGCTCCACACCCCACGGATTGTACTGGGGATACAAAGACGAACAGGACAAAGGCATAAAACCGAT